TAAGAAGCTTAATACAAATTCTTGCCAAGCATTGGTTTCTCATTATTGGCCAGAACCATTTTGTACAGTGGGCTGACCAAAAGGTTTTTTTAAAAATGCAAGAGGGCTAAAAAGACTCCAACCACTTCCATCTTGGCTATTTTAAAAAATGTTTGCACAGAAACTCTTTCTTTCTTGACTCATAAACGACATTATCTGCTTTTGGCCTTTTTTGTTTGTTTTTAAGGTAACTTTGTGAGAACCATTTTGCAGCCTGCCATAAGCTTAATGGAGAGTAAGGCTGCTGCTGCTGTGATTCCAGAAGAAGCAGCAGGACATGTTTTCCAGTCTTCTGCAGAAGCAGTTGGATTAGATGGTTCTCTTAGAAACCTCACAGCTGTCGAAGACGCTTCCAAAGGCTGGCCAGCCATTGCTCACAAAACAAAGGATACGGAAATGTCACACCAGGGAGAAAATTCGGATTTTTCTTTTCTAATAGTAAATGATACAAAAGGCAACAAGCAACTTTTTGTGGATCTAGGTAAATATAAGTGCTTTTAAACTTCTTTGGGATGCAACAAAGTTAAGAAATTAGTTGTTTCTTAATCTTCTATTACAGACAGTAAGAACAGTGGTGTTCTTACCGTTGTCCCTATGGTCAGAATTTAAATGAAATACAATACATGCTGAAACTGTGATCGTAAGTGCTATCCTTTAAAGGAACCTTAGATTCTTGGTCCATGGAACTTCTTATATTACTACATTTAGTTATTTTTTTCTGAAATTTGAAGAAATTCTTGCCACACAAGACTAATAATTTTTTTTCATCTAATACTTAGTGCTCCCATTTGAATTAAAAGAGAATAGCATATATTGCTTTTTTTTGTTATTTCAGTTGAATTAGAAGCTGCTTAATTATGGAATAAGTCTTACAGGCGTGGCCTTCTTAATTGTTCTACGTGTATGAATTGAGCCTTCTTTCCCTGTTTGGAATGGCAGCTGTTAGGTTTGTGATGGAATAATAGAAATTTTGGGTTGGGCACTTCATGACCCAGCTGGGCTTAGCCTGTTGAAGGTATTAAAATGTTACTAATCTCCAGGAGCACAACACCCATAGTCAAACTAAAGTTTGAAAGTTCCACCCTTCTTCATTCCTGTATCTTTTTTCTGCTTTTTGCCTCGTCTCAGTGAAATGAAAATAGCTCAGCACACTTTTGCACAGCAATGTGTTATGTACTTCAAGACTTTACTGTCTTTTTTTTCTCAGACTCCTGTGAAGAACCCCCATTCCTTCAGATTCTTTTCATGGAATTCAGGATCACTTTCATTGCAGGCCTCCTCAATATGTCTGATCTATTGAAATGTAATCCCAGAGTGGGCCCTACAGTAGGCTTCTCCATTACTAATTCAGAAGGATTACTTTCACATACTGTTCAAAATTCCTTCAAGCATATTCATACATGGAAATTAAATGAAACCATATTTTTTGACTGTGTCACCTTCTAAGAATTTGATGATAAATGTGCAGCTTTTTGTCCTCAGTTGTATTTCACAAAATTAATTTGAAATCATGGGTTTCTTATACTGAAGTGAAACTTTTAGCAATTATAATGTCAGAATCATTAAGATGCCTGTGTAGGGCTGTTGAGTGTTTGTCTTAATTCTTCTATGACATAAAAATGTACATGCATTATGATCTTGCTTTGTTGCATTTCAGCTATGGGGTGTGAGCTGAAGTCAGTAATAGTATTTGTCCATTCATTAGACTCTTAGCTGGGTCTAAGGAAAATTGTTTAATTTACAAGTGCTAAGTACCCTAAATCCTAGCCAGCATTGTTATGTTACGAAATATTTGTTTTCCTGTAGGAGTTTATACAAAGAATAGAAACTTCCGGATGTATAAATCATCAAAAGCAGGAAAAAATGTGATTCTGAAGATAGCAGAGGATAATAAGTTTATCCCTAGCTGTGAAAAGGATGTTTCCTTGGAAGAAGCATATTTTCTTTCCTCTTTAATCTGCAACATTAGGTAATTATTTAATTCCAGTGGAATTTACAATATTTTTAAATATGTATTTTAATGATAATTCTCCCGCAGCAGTTACAAAAAGCTACTTCGAATGAGCAGTTATTCCATTAACATTGTTACAGTGTAATTTTGGAGTTCCTACTAGAATTTCTTGTTTTTGAAGAAAAAACAAGAACAAAACTCTTGAGAGTCTTGGTTTTTGGTTTGTTTTTTTTTTTTTGAACCTACCTTCAAGTGTTTAAAGGACACAGAACACGTGGTACAGCTCCTGAGTTGTGCCTCATTTCTCTGTACGCACTCAAAATGCCAAAACTTAACCATTATTAAGTTTGGTCAAATTCTGTATCTGAAAACAAAAATTACAGATTTCCAGTCAGTTAAATATGAAGAGTCTGAATATTTTCCAGAGTAGGATAAGAAATATCCTGTACATGTTTAGTTGCATACCAGATTCCCCATTTGGTACAAATACCTCCTTACGTTGGGTACTCGTATGTACAATAACCAAGTTTTCTGTAGCTAATCTAAACTTCTGATATGTCATATGCTGTACTAAGAAGATCCTAATTGTTGCTGCAGCAGAAAGAGGATTAAAATGGTATAATATTTTTACTCAAAACATAGATTTGTTCTGACTTCAGGTTTTATATCCTGAAATATTCATTATCCTGAACTGATGCCAGCAACCCCGTAGCATAAATCATGTAGTGTATTCAGATCATAGACATCAGATGAGTCTGTCATAAATATGGCTGAGAAATTCTGCTGTGTTGAATTTAGACTTCTTTGATCATCTGGCTTCAGCTAGCAACATGGCAAAAAAAAGTAGTTCATTTTAGAGAGACAAAAAAAATTGAAACCTTTCAAAGGGTATATTTACATAAATATGCTGTAGGAGTGTGGACCAGCAGTCGTTAAATGGCTGAGTCCTGGGACTTCCTCCAGGAACCAAATGTTGCTGCTGAGGAGGAGGAACCCCTGCCCTTGGTGCCAGTCAGGGAAACTGCCAAAGTGAGAAGAGAGAGTGCTCCAGGGATAGGGAATGGTGCACACTGAATCATGGGCTGGTTGAGGTTGGCAGGGACCTCTGGAGGTCTCCTGGCCACCCCCTTGTTCCAGCTGGGCTCCCTGGAGCCAGTGGCCCAGGGCTTTGTCATGTTATGTTATGCCATACTGTGGTAACTTATATGCTACTGTGTTATGCTGTAAGAATCACACATTTTCTTTGTATTCTTTTCTTTCTTCAGAGTGAGTGATGACACAAAAGTTCTGTCATCTGGCTTTTCAGAGGAGGAGAGAAAAATGTCTGCTTTTTTAAACAGTAAAACAACCAGAAGCAGCCAAGGTACCCCAAGCCTTATCTCCTGTATAGAAAAAAAAGTTCTCTTTAATTAGATGTACTGTGACTTGTACACCTGATAACCTCTAGGAGGGCTCTTCTTCAGCTACCCTTCATCTACCCTTCAGCTACCCTTCTGCAGGAGGCAGAGTACATCTGTACTGAAGGATGCTCTGCAGCCCCTGAATGCCATTTACCTTTTCCTCTTGAGGGTGGGAGTAGCAGTTTAAAGATCTACAAGAAAGTAACAGTGGATTTATCCCTGGTTTCACATTTGAGGGTGTGATGTGATTCATGTGCATTTTCTCCCTATATAATGTGTAATGTGTGATAATTACATGTTGCCATGGCAAAGCCACTAACAGTATGTATATGTGGCCTTTGTTTTAACAGATTCCATGGAAGGCTATCAGGGTTCACCATATCCAGAAATTGATAATTTTGTTCATTCTTTGGTTAATAAAGATGGGCTACAAGGAGGTAAAGAGACCACTTGATTATTCACAAATGACTGTTCTGCATCACTAGTTTTAAATAATTTAAAGAATTAATTTTTTTTCCCTCAGGGATACGGCAGTGGAATTACTTCTCTCTCAAAGAAATACTTGTATATGATATTTCTGGTTACCGCTGGTGTGAAAATATTGGAAGAGCTCACAAAAGTAACAACATAATGTGTGTTTTTTATTCAGTTTTAAACAGCTTTTTCTTATTCTCCTGCTCAACTGTTATTCTCTAAAAATGCTGAAAAATCTCTTATGGATAGAATTAGCACCTATTACAATTTCTGTTGCCTTGCTCTGTGAGGATACAATGCTTCAATTAAAAAAAACAAACACCAAACCCCAAAAAACCCAGACAAAACCAAACTTTTTCCCTCAAGTTTACTTTGTGATAACCGGGCTTGTATTTCTAACAGTTCCACGAAGTAGGTATTCATGGTATTTAAAATATGTGCCTAAAGATGCTAACATAAAAGTCAGAATATGTTAAAGCTATTAAGCAGTACTATGCATTTATACTTTACAGCTAGGAAGCTGAAAAATCACAAAAAGAAAGCAGACCACTTTTAAATTAATTTACAGTGCACCTTAAATTACGTTATTATGTTATTAAAATGACTTTTTCATTTTAATAATTGAGAATTACCATTTTAGAAGGGTAATTCCTGCTGCCGCTTTAGTCAAGATGAGTTTTGCCAGTGACTCTGGAAGGAGTTGGACTTTGTGTAGTTTTAGCAAAATAAGTGATGGAAAATCAGGTTTTTTAGATTACATTAGAATTCCAGTATATCATTAGTAGAAATATTTTAACTTAAAAATAACTCTGTGTAACATTTAAAGTCACTGAAACATAAGGAGTAGGGTTTTGAGAAACAAGGATACTCAAAAAAACCTACAGCCACTACACTAGATGGTGTTTCCCAAGCACGGTGCTTGAAGTTTGGTGTTTGTAAAGCACAGCTGAAAAAGCTGGGTGGTCTAATCAGTTGACAGGAAATAGTGATTTTATGTGGCTTTTATAATGAAATTATCTGTAACAGCAGCAGCAACAAAATCTTATCTTACAGTTAAATCCCATATGCTACCCTTATTTTAATGACTGTCTTCCAAGCTTAATGTAATGAAGTTAACTAAATTTCACTTCCAGATGTTAGTCTTAAAAATTTATTTCTTTTAACTTATGAAGCTAGAAGTTTATCAGAAATTGTACAAAACATGTAATTAGTATGTCAGAGTATGAAAGCAATGTCCATAGTTGAGGATAAACAACACCTGTTCATTTAGTGTCAGAGTTTCCTACTGTATGAATTCATTTCATTTATTTACTGTTACTGAAAAAAACTAAGTGATTTCATTCTTAGGATTCTGGTAGATCTGAAGAACGAAGTCTGGTATCAAAAGTGTCATGATCCTGTCTGCAGAGAACAAAACTTCAAATCACAAAGTATGTAGTCTGTGATCTCAAAGCAATTATACTTAGTACTTTTTTGAATGTTAATTTTAATGCCATATATTTGATTTAGGTTTTCCATTACCACCTGGGATATGTCTCCCGTCTCTTTTCAAAGAGGTATGTTTTTGTCCTATCGATATGCCAAGGTCCTTGTGAGCCATGTTGTCTCTGGAAATCACTGAACATGCCCACTGACACAGTCTGTTGAGCTCCATGCACTAGTTACAGTGGTATAGAAGAGGTTCTGGTAGCACCATATACTCATTTTTAAGTTACTGGAATCACCTAACTTCACTTGGGACTAAAGACTTCCTTCTGTTTTGATCTGAACAGCAGTTCCCAGTGCATAAGCCACAGGGACACTGCAGGGTTAAGTAGAATGGAAAAACTGCCCGAGTTTGATTTCATGCTGGGCAAGCCAAAATGGAGCTGCTCCTGGAACACTTGAGTTCAATCAGAGTCAAATGTAGGTCAGTGACCCTCATATTTGAAGTTCATTTATCTCCATTTTTTAGTGTATCAACACAGTTACCTTTCCCCTAAACAGGTAGAATACTTAAGCCAACCTAATACTGCACCTAGATTCTAAGGCCTGAACATACTAGTTTTTCCACTGCTTAGGCAATAAGAGTTGGCATTTTTGCAACTTTTAAATTTATCTTGACAGCTTTAAAGGTCATACTGCAGCATGGCACGTTAAGCTCTACTTAAGCAGAGCATCAATAGCTATTAGTACTATTTCATAGAAAGTGCAATTTAAGTGCACTTTCAGATCCTGACAGTATCTTTAAACGGACCTTAAAATCAGTTTTAACCTTGTATTACTTTAAGAAGCTGTATACAACAGACTGCTTGTAGGTTGCTAGAAAAACAGCAAATTTCTACTCCTATTGAAATAGACTTCCAGAGGTTAACATGGTTATAAATTAACATGCTGGAAAATCTGTCTTGTTGGCCAGCTTCCTGTAGTATCCATTATGTGTGACAGTACAAGTTTCAAACTTGCAGAGCAGTTAAAGGTATGAAGACCATTTTCATATGGAGTAAGTAGTACTCTTGTTTCTCAAAGGAAGAAGAGTATACACCAATGGATGAAAGGGGGAACACAGAAGAAAAGGTGAAACCACATTTTAATGCATCAGACTTGTCAGAAAGCTCAGGATCTCTGGCAAACAGCTTGTCTCAAGACTTCTTGTTGTCAGACAGTGAGTGGGAAAATGCAAGCGACGATGCCCGTTTCCTGGAAGCTGCCGAAGATGTGGAACTCGCTGAAGCTGCAAATGATAGTCTGAATTATGCCATGGAAGAAATCCCAGATGAAGCTCTTTTGGAAGCTTTAAGGAAAGAAGACTCTTGCAATAAAGAAGGCAGCTAACCACTGGCTTGGCCAGCACACAGACTGCCAGCAGTGACACCTGCGTGCTTTGTGCCTCTGGAAAGATACTGCGATGTAGTTCAGAAGCACTATTCCAGAGGTGTAGGACAAAGGGCAGATTAGCTGGATGATCTTGAACAGGCAGGAGATCATGGAAGATTACGTCGAGTCTGAAGAGTGCTGGACTGAAACACTCATCATGAATGCTGCTCCATGCTTAGCACTTTTAATGCTCTCTGCTGTACAGTTTCTATTTTGCTAGTTTTATGTCCAAGTTTTATTGATAAACCAAGTTAAACAGACTTCTTTAGTTCCAGAAATGGGATGAAATTATTTATTTAACATACAAATTTAATAAAAAGATGTCTATGAATAGTTCAGCCAAAGTCTCTGTGTTCTCTTTAAAAGTGTATGTTGCTGTCAAGATCATATTACTTTAATAGCACAAGTTTAAAACCCAACATTGTTCACAAGCAGAGAAAAGTTTTATTACTTTAAGTGGGATTGCTGTTTCAGTCATTTCACTGACATTGAGACTATTTGACAATAGAAAGATACATCTCGATCAAGTCATTTTTAACATTGAAACAAAATAGAGCAACAGTGACTAATCACGCTTTAAACACTACCATTCCAATAACTGTTTTTAACAAATGTTAAAAAGTCTTAAAAAACACTTAGTCTTTCTTTGATAACCTCTCTCTTTGTACAGCCAGAGCCTCTTCCAGTTTCAAATTAATATTCTGAAAGTGTCTTTCTGCTCCTAGAATTCTCCGTGACTCCATCAGAAGAGCAGGGAGGCTGGAAGTTCCATACTGTTGATATGGAAATAAAATTACAAGGCAACATTTTTAACTCTTGGAAAGATCACTTACATGTCTGTAGTTATTCTTCCTCTATCTGGAATGGCACAACATGATTTTTAAAAGTGAAGAACGGCCAAAATTAATAAGAGTGTCTTATGAAATGCGAGGATTTCCCTTACACATGGCAGGCATGTACCTTTGTCAACAGAAAATACCACACCAGGTCCTGGGTAAAACGGGAAGGAGTTCTAAGGCTACATGAGAAGTTACTCTGGCCATGTAATAAAAGCACTGTTCTTAGCATTAAATACCTTACAGAACAGACATGGAAATACCAGAGCTTTTCCTTTCTTTGAACAATAACAACAAAAGAATAATTACTTGTTTCTCAGTGTTAATATTTCTTTAATTTCTATAAAAAAGTTACAACTGAGAACAACTGTTAGGCTTTTATGTCCTTTCAACTCCTGGATATAGAGAGCAATGCAGTGGAATCCTCTCTGAAATACTTCAGCTTTTAACATGAGACCAAAAAGAGTGAGATACTACAGTGCAGTTACAGCAGTGATTCTCAAGTTGCTTCCACAAAGACAATTAACAAAATATTGCTATTTAATATAACTTAAACATTAATACAAGTGCCCAGCAGTCCAGGAAAGAAAAAATGGGGAGGAGAGTTGTGACCCAGAACTGTTCGGAAATACATGCAAAATTTGTACTTACTACCACTTTTTCTTTTGGGTTTTCTTCTCTAAAATCCAAACAGTCTTGCTGTAGCTCCTTTAAATCAGTAAGTAATTCAATTGTTTGCCTCAAGGAAGATTTCCTTTCCTTTATCTCAGCATATTCTCTTTGTAGTTGTGTCAGTTGTGGTTCAGCTCTGAAAAAGAATCAAGGCTTTGATGTTTGTATCTGCATGTTTATTGCATGAATGACTATGAACATATTTCCTCTGAAGAAGACTTGAAGGAAAGGTTGCTCAGAAACACAAAACATAGGTTAGTATAGCATACTGTTTAATTAGAACAACTAGCATATTACTTAAATAGGAGCATGAGTCCAAATCCACCAAAAAACCCCAAACCTCTCTTTCTCAAAGAGAAACTCTTTTTGAGCACTTTTTTAATTCTCAAAAAGAACATTCTTTTGTCAGACTCAAAATTGTCTTTTGAGTCTGACAATGTAGCTCCTCTCTTTTAAGCAATTAAGTTTTCCAAATATAGTTTCTTTAGGTGTTCTGCACACGCCTGTCTGCAGGCTGAGGTGTTCAAGTGCTTATGCTGAAGCATACTCAGGATCTACAAACTACCTACACCTCTGCCTAAGTAAACTGGAGGGCTCAATCCATTACAATAGCACTCCAAAAACTGAACACCAACAGCCATTTTCATTCAACAGAAAAAAAGCTTTCTTAAAATGACCAAAGGATTACAACAGAACACATAAAAAATGCGAAGACAGCTTTCAGTCTGTGAGGGGGTTCAAACCATACTGAGGGATTAGTTCTTTGAGCATAATTTGTCCATAGTACTGCAAAGTTACACAAGCTCTCATGGCCATAGAGAAAAGGCTTTTACACTGTTCTTGTCAATCCAAGGCCCTGGTTCCCTACAGAGATAACTTAAGGAGTGACGTTATACACAGCTTCAGTATAAAACTTGTCACTAGCAACCAATGGGATGTGGGGAAGCCTAATGGTTCTTCCAAATAACATGATTTCTATGTTGTTTATCTAAATGACTCTTAAGATTAATGCCAAGTTAGAGATGGGGAATTGCATAGCCACATGAGATGAAAGCAAATCAGGTACTGAGAGGAACGCTTGTCAAATTGCAGAGGTGAAATACAATCTCCCACCTCAAAACCAAAAAAGTCCTATGTATTACCTTTGTAAATTTATGATACAGCGCCTTTGCAATTCAAATTGTAACATTAGTATTTTTCTTATGAACACATGGTGTGAAACACCATCCTAGTAACTATTTATTTAGCTAAGAGAACTTGCAAGAATGACTATCTAGGCAACTGATATATGTAAAGGAGAGGTCATCACAAGCTTTTGTAAAAACAGAAAGCAAGACAACAAATAAAATGAAAAAAAACCAAAAAAAGTTACTTTCCCTTCTGAGCTACAAAATACAGATTCTTTAAGCTCTTCAGGCTATTATTGTGCATCATTAGAAACATACCCAATTAGCTCTTCTCTGAGTTGCACCAGTCGCTGCCTTTTCTTTTTGATGTTTGTTACTGCCTGAAACAAATAGTGAGCAAAGTCTCTGAAACAGTTTCTGCAATTTCAAAGGCAAACAACTCATATTTGATTGGCTTCTTTTCTCTGGGATTTTATGCTTCTGATTCTCGTGGAACATTCCAAGATATCAGACCTTATAAACTGCCATATTTTACATTTGTATTTTAAACACTTCAAAGCTATTTAAAATGTCAAACTTTTATCTCCATCCAAAATTTCTCCTAAGGAACACTCACTTTACAAGCATACAAAAGGAGTTTGTGACATTTTGAACACAAACATGACCAACTCTAGGAGTTGACTCTAGGTCAAAATGAAAACTAACATAAAGCTATGTTCAGCATGATTGCCATAACTAAGCTTTCTTTAATATAACATCCAATTTAAAAAAAAAAAAGCAACACCCAAAACTGATCCTAAAATTAAATTTAGCAACTAAAAATCTCATTTTAAACAAATGTATACGAGTCAAAGTCAGGATAAATGTGAGTGTCTGTGAATTCTATATGTGTATTATTTTACGTGCTGAGTAGCTTGCCATATCACCTCAAATCAACAAGACTTTAGCATATTAATTGCTACATCCCAGAATAAGCCTCATGTTGACCTTATTTGTTGAAAGCTATTTTGTCCTTGAAAAGTTTGCAGAAGATGTTAATCTGGGCAGAAAGCCAGACAGTGCCTATGCTTCTCTTAAATCTCTCTGCTCTAGGGCATTCACCTCTCCTTGATAAAACCACTGCAACGTTTTTCTGCTCTTACACTAGTTCCTCCTCCTGTCAACATTCCCCAACTGCATTTTCAGTAAATAACTACTCCCTCTGAATGAACAGAGGAACTGCCTTCTTCTGAACAAAAATTCTGCATATATTTAGGGAATGCAGTTCCCATAGACTTCTTTAAACTAAGAAATCCAATTCTATCCTCACAGGTCACCATCTTTGCTGCTCTCCTAGATTTTTATATTCATTTGTGTTTCTTGAAGGTTAGCACTCAATATTTAATTAGCTCTCCAGAAGCCTCACAAGTACTCATTAAAAAAAAAAAACCACCTAACTCCAAAAAACCAAAAGAGTACTTCACATGCATAGACACCTACACATCCTAATGTGCATTCCTTCTTTTTACCCCCTATAGCAGTATATGTATGGAGTTTGCATTCCATCATATTTACTCAGATCTTTCCCAAAAATACTCTGGTGGTTCCCTATCCCCTATTTGTGCAGTTGATTCTGTAGTACAGTACACCTTTTTGTCAATTATTTTATTTCTTCCAGTCAACTTCTTGAAATTTCAATGCCCACTACTGTATGCCATACAATCTAGTGATATATATGTATTTACCTTAGCATTTTTCCTCTTCATATTCTTTAATTCCTGGACTCCCGCTATCTACAGAGGAAAAGAAGAATTACAGATTGACTATGGATCTTGAATTCATCACTATCCTCCTAAAATCATGGCTGCAAGAATTACTTGGGAATAACATAAAAAGCTATTTAAAAAGCCAACACTGTTTCAAAGTGAGATTACAAGTGTATCACTTGTGTATGGAGTCTTTCCTCTCTCCTCATGCCAGAGAAAGACTGTTGCACAAAATTAGTTAGTGCAAGTAACACTCGTACCAATTACTGTAATACTACCTAGCTTAAGTTTTCTATAACTTTATATATATAGGTATAAATCTAGTCTTTTTAAAACTTATTCCTTCTCATGAAACACTTAGAACTATAGTTTTAGTACTTATCCATTGTACTTATCACAAGTCCTACAAAGTTCTGAGTTCATTTCACTCCTTACAATTAGTGAGAAGAAATCTTAGTCTTCCTAACCAATAAGCTTGTTACAGAATCCCAGAATCGGTCAGGCTGGAAGGGACCACAGTGGGTCATCTGGTCCAGCCTCCCTGCTCAAGCAGGGTCATCCTAGAGCACATGGCACAGGACTGTGTCCAGATCGCTCTTGAATATCTTACAGTTATGTTCAAACTGCTCATTAAAAAAGGATGATTTTCCCTGGATTATGTTAGAGGCCTTACTCAGGCCTCTAAACAAGAGTCACTGAGACGCAGTATAAAAATTAAATCATTGGCCTTATAAAACTCTAGTCCATGAGGTTTTAAAACAGTGTTTGACACAGCTGTTATGCTCATTCAAATTATGCAGCCCTCCAGTTTTCCTACATAATGATTTAGATATGACAAACACTTCAGGATTATTAGATGCTTCTCTATTCTCGAAAGCTGACAATTTTGCCAAGTACCTGCATGACAGCAGTGTTGTGTCTGGAGGTAATTCTTATGAAAGCCTGCACACAGGCAGCAAATCATAACCTGCACACAACAGACTGCTTTTGTATTATTTATACTGACAATAGATTGGAAAATTTTACGTACTGTAAAATAAGTGTGTAATGGACAATATAAAACCATAGGCATTTCTGACCACAAAACTTGATTTTATTTCTGGTGTACTTACAAGATCGGTGATTTGGCCCTTGAAAGCAGAACAGAAGTCAATGATAGCCTTTCTGCAAATGTTTGATTCTATGCTTTGTCTGGAGAAGTCAGAGGGACAAAACACAACCCACTTAGTTCAGTAAAGGGGAAATCTCATCCCACAACATTTCTTTAAGTAACGAATAAAACTCAGCATTAAGCAGCTAGGCAACTGCAGATCTTTCATATACTAGCAATAGCTTAATTTCTACCTTGAAAAATGGCAGCTGAGATGTGGCATTGTTTGAAAAAATATCAAATCCCTGCAGACCATGTCAAGATCACATATGAAAAAACATTTGTATCACAGAAACTGAACAATCATGAAAATAACATTAGAATGTAACCATGCAATACTGCATTCCCCAAAGGACAGCCCACTAGCAAAAACACAGGTAAATCCTTTTTAAAACTTTGAATATTCAATCATAGGAAAGCAGAATATTTACCTGTAATTTGCTGCTATCTTCTCAACTTCAGCCAGAACAACATCCAGTTCTGTAATATCTCTAGGAGATCTCTCCAGCTCTTTGGGACACCAAACCTGTACAGAATGTGGGCTGTCCACTGAAACAACAGAATAAACTCAACCTGCATAACTCAGGTACATGTTCTAAAACAATAGAAAAATTATTGTTCCCACGATCAAAATAACCATCCAAAAGTTATGAATATTTTAATATTAAATCTGAGAAGAGTGATATATTATTTCATCTGTCTTCGGCTGAACAACTATGATAGATTTATCTAGAAGCCCTTTAAAATTGGGATGATCAATCATATACAACTTACTCTTAATCATTTCAAGCAAGTCCAGAAACACATTAAAAAATAAACTACACACTGACTGTAGATATAATTTTTTGTCTTGTAAAAACTATTAGTCTGAGTTTGGGCAAAGAATCATGAGTTTTTATATTTGTATTTTATTTATATTTATTTTATTACATTTATTTCATATTTGTATACATTTTGCATTAATACCATATATGCTTCAAAAAAACCCTATATACAAATACATTTCCTTAGATTTTGCAACAGTATTATTAACTAATTCCACAAAAAGTTAAACCATGTTTCTTCACACACTCTCAAATGTCAGTCTAGTACTACAATATGATGGGTTCAAAGGAAGCAAGATGACACAAGGGGCATTCCAAGTTCTGCCCCAGCTGCTGCTCCAGGCTTCCAGACCAAGGAATGTACTGACACCTCTTACAGCTTCATATCCACGGCCCCAGACTTCCCTCCAAAGGGAACCAGTCTGCCTTAGAGGGATAATGCACACATGTTTTACCCCTTCAGGAGTGGAATAGGCAAACCATGGGGATCAAATGTGGGTCTATGACAAAACTGAAACTAAAACCTTCCATTTCTTGAAGCAGTATCACAGAATCACAGAACATGCTGAGTTGGAAGGGACCCACAAGGATCATTAAGCCCAACTCTCAGCCCTGCATAGGACCACCCCCAAGAGTCACACCATGTGCTTGAGAGTACAATCCAAACGCTTCTTGAACTCTGTCAAGGCTTGGTGCTGTGACCACTTCCCTGGGGAGCCTGTTCCAGTGCCCAACCACCCTCAGGGTGAACAATCTTTTTCTAATATCCAACGTCAACCTCCTCTGACACAACTTGAGGCCATTCCCTCAGGTCCCATCACTGGTCACCACAGAGAAGAGATCAGTGCCTGCCCCTCCTCTTCCCCTCACAAGGAAGTTGTAACCGCAATGAGGTCTCGCTTCAGTCTCCTCCAGGCTGAACAGACCAAGTGCCCTCAGCCACTCCTCACACGACTTCCCCTCAAGGCCCTTCACCATCTTCACTGCTCTCCTTTGGATACTCTCTAATAGCTGAATATCTTTCCTATATTGTGGCACCCAAAACTGCACACAATATTCAAGGTGAGGCCGCCACATTGCAGAGCAGAGCAGGACAATCCCTTCCCTTGACCGTCTGGTGATGCTTTGCCTGATGCCTCCCTGGACACAGTTGGCCCTCCTGGCTGTCAGGGCACTGCTGACTCATATTCAACTTGCCATCGACCACGATCTCCAGGTCCCTTTCCTTGCAACTGCTCTCCAGCCTCTTGTCCCCCAGTCTATACAAACATCCAGGGTTGCCCCAGCCCAGGTGCAGAATCCAGCACTTCCCTTGTTGAACTTCATATGGTTGGTGATTGCCCAGCCCTCTAATTTGTCAGGGTCTCTCTGCAGGGCCTCCCTGCCTTCGAGGGAGTCAACAGCTCCTCCCAGTTTTGTGTCCTCTGCAAACTTGCTTAATATCCCTTCCAGTCCTGCATCCAAGTCATTTATGAAGATGTTGAAGAACACAGGGCCCAAGATGGAGCCCTGTGGAACCCCACTAGTGACAGGTCACCAGTCTGATGTTGCCCCATTTCATTATTACCCTCTGTGTTCCACTCGTGAGCCAATTGCTCACCCCACTGCATGATGTGTTTATCCAGCTGTGTGCTGGACATTTTGTCCAGAAGGGTCCTGTGAGAGACAGTATTGAAAGCTTTACTGAAATGCAAAAAGATTACATCAACTGGCTTCCCTTGATCAACTGGGTGGGTTACCTTGTCATAAAAGGAAATCAGGTTTGATAAGCAGGACTTTCCCCTCATGAAGTTGTGCTGGTCGTGACCAATGACTGCATTATCTTTCAGGTGTTTTTCAATACCTCCCAGAATAATCTTCTCCATAACTTTATCAGGCACTGAAGTGAGACTGATGGGTCTGTAATTTCCGGGGTCCTCCTTCTTGCCCTTCTTGAAAATCAGGACAACATTCACCAGCTTTCAACCAGCTGGGACCTCTCCGGATTCCCAAGACCGCTCAAAAATCATCAAGAGAGGTTTTGCAATGACATCAGCCAGCTCTTTGAGGATTCCTGGATGAATCCCATCAGGCCCCATAGATCTGTAGGGGTCCAGCTGGAGCAGCAGGTCCTGCACAATTTCAGGGAGTTGGTCATTCTCAAAGTCATGGTCCTCAAGCTCAGGGCACTGAGACCCCCTTTGTCCATCATCTGAGTTGAAGATAGAGGCAAAGAATGCATTAAACACCTCTGCCTTGGCTCTGTCCCTGTTTGTGAGGTGACCATCCTCATTCTGTAATGGGCCGATGATATTTCTACACTGCCTATTGCCATTAATGTATTGGAAAAAACTTTTTATTGTCCCTCACATTTCTGGCAGCTTCAACTTCAGCTGAGCTTTGTCTGCACAAATTTTCTCCCTACAGTGGCAAGCAGCATCTCTGAGTTCTTCCTCTGTCTCCTGACCTTGCTTCCACTGGGCATACACCTTCCTATTTTGCCTTTTCTCCAAGAGTTTGTTGCTAGGTACCAGAAATTAAAAGCATGGAAAAACATTCATCTTGAATGAGGAAAAGCTATATGAGAGTTTTTACCAGAAGGGTCTGATGTGCTCTCCTCTGAAGGCTGCTTCTTTTTCGCCTGGAACTGAGTAGCATTCACACCCTTCTGTGATACGAAAAGCAGATTAACTTCCAAAATAAACCCTTATTATTAATTTAAAATGGCAATTAGGCAAAAAGCATTTCCTGACTGAAACATCTGTAACATTTACACAGGCTCGTTTCACCAGAATCCCAGCACAGTGACCACACTGCTGCAGGACAGCAGCTGCCTGACTGAACTGACCAACGGACACGTTGGCCACTGGCCGTGCAGCAGGACTAGGAACACGTTAAGGAGCATAAGGACCCTCAGTTCAGCACAGTCATTGCCCAGTATTAACATTTCTCTGATCAACACTGCCTGCTCACCTTTCTTTTCACCCACATTCTGTCCCCATTCTTTCTCTACTTTGACTACTTTGTGACACCAACAGCACTCCTACAAAAGTGCTGCATACATCCAGTTTAACAATCTGTATTGAATTTCACAGCATCGTTTTCAGCAATTCCAATAAATTTCAATATGTAAAAAACCTTTTATACAAACTACTGCACAGCTTCTTTTATCACAGGTCTACTTTTGAGCCTGCAGATGATTAACTTCCTCTGTATGTCTGGAAGTGGGCCAAGCGCATTTTACACTAGTTGTGGAGTAAGTGTGGAAAAACACTCATTCAAAACTGGATGGCTTTTAATTCTAATACACATTCAAAATTAATTTTATCAGTATTCTTTTCTCTCATAAATTTGTTTCAATACTGAAAAAACAAAAAGGATTCATATTCCATCTGGTATGCCATTCTTCAAGCACATGTATTCTAGATACAAAGAAGATATTTGAAATAAGGAAAGAACATATTCCCAAATGAAAAAGAGAATAGGCTACAGGATCCAGAACACCTGCCTATTATATTATATTCCATGCTGACATGATGACTGTAGCTTTAAGCATTTCACTTGGCTATCTCTCAGGAATACTTTGAGGATTGATTATTTTGGATACAATTAAATACTATGGCAGTACTAAGAAACAAATGGAAGGTCTTCCTCTCACCCCACCCTCTAATGCAGGCGTGGCAAGAAGTAAGCTAAATTTAAATTGACTGATAATACTTAGGCAACTTTTTGTGTACCGCAGTCTCCTTAAGAGGTCCATCTCCAGCACCAGCTGTTTTGAGTATCTGCTTATCACCATTAGATGTCTTTGACAGATGCATTTTTTTACTAGGAAAAGAAAAACATACAGTTATACACTGAGAAAGAATGATCTACACAACAAAACAAAAATCAAAGTAACAATACTCTCACAACATACTCTCATACAAGCACTATTACTGTCTTGCTATTTAATTCAAATTATAACTATTTCAGATTTAAACCAAATTTGATTAAACAAATGAGAAACATACAAAAATTTGAATTAAAATATTTTTAAATAATTTTCTCTGTTACATATAATTTAACTGGCTTCTATCCATTTTTCAATTTTTCCATCTTTTAACTTTAGACACCAGCATTTAGAGAACAAATTAATACCTCACAGAGACATTTTAAAATCTTTTCAATATAAAAACTGCAGTAAGTACTGTACTGCTTACAAAAGGCAGACTCAGATTTACTCTACCATTTGTTTTCTACAATCTTCAACCTCACTCTTTTGGTTTCTGATCTTGGGAATTTTAAGTTAGAGCATCTGTTTAATAAGCAGCTAGGGAAACTCGACAAATAGAACGTTTTTCCCACTTAACCAAAAAATGTAAAGATTAAATGCTGGCAATTCTATTTTTTTTCACCAGACCTTCTTTTTGTATTTTGCCTTTGCAGTGCTGAAACATGACCAAGTGACTCGTTTTGTGAGGGTTCCTCTCCATAAGCATCCACAGCAGTACTGTGCAAAGGGTGATCTATAAAGAACAGAAAACAAATTGCATGAAAACTGCTCCCATCTCTTAAGGCAAGGAGCACTGCTCGCCATTAAGCATTTAGTTAGGGTATTTGTGGTTTGCTAGCTATTAAAAAGGAAGTTCTTGTTAAAAGTATTATTTGAGGATTAGAAAAAAATACATAGTGAAAAGTTTTACGTACCCAGCCACCTGCTATTTCTTTACAAACTCAAAACAAAGGTGCAGGAAAGCTGGGCATGTACATATGGCACATAGCAGGCAAAATATTTTGTACAGTGTCTTTAAAGTCTCTCTTTGCTATGGCATACATAAACCTTCTACATATTTAAACAACTACTTTCTAATTTTTGTTAATATAGACTTTAAGCTGCTTTATTGGATGCTATAAGAAGACAGTTACAGCTGCTACAGAATATTTGTAAATGTAGAATTCTTAAAGGTAGCTACCAAAATAGATTAGAACTCTGGGAACTTTGGGTTTTAGCATGCCCTCTGTAGTATAATTTTTTTTTTCAAGCACATTGCCACATAAATTTTGTCTTAGTTTACACTAGTGTCAGTGGGCATCCTTTTTATAGTCTAAATACGTAGCACAGAAGTCAGGGAAAGAAGAGCTTTTCATCTTTCCGTCTCGCCCTTATAACAATCCTCTTGCTAAATTATTTATAGCTCATTTTCAATGCTCTTTCTAGTAGTCACATGTATATTTCCATGATTTTCTTAGAGTAATAACAATTACAGTTGAGAAATAACTCTTAGCATTTTCTCTACAACTTCAAATCACACAGTTTTTCAATTATTTATATATATATAACACAATAATAGAGGACTTCACTCAGGAGCACCTACTTCATCTAAATTGATTCTCTGCCTCTATACTGAGGCCTCATTACAGAAATACAATACAAAGCATGGAAATGGTTTTAATCCTTCACCAAAAATTGTATGGTTTTATGTTATTTTTTTAAATAAGATTTGAAACTGGCACAAAAACATCCCTGTGAATGTTCAAATTTGCTGCCATGAAGACTCTTACAATAGCAAAAATTTTACTTCATAATTTCCGTAGCTTAATAGAGAATAACTTAAGATATTGAACTTAGGGTTTTAAATGTAAATTCTTACACATCTGCAATATTATAATGTGTGAAATTCTACCATTCAGATATAAAACTTGAATAGCCAGTATTTTTCTGTTAACTTTTACCTGTACATATTACAGCATTATTCTTGTTACTTCCTAAATTATAGAAAATAACATAACAAACTCTCTGTCTCTCCTGTCCACTACTTTCTCTGGCAAAAAACCAATAACTTTTCCTAGGTAAGCATTGAAGCATTTTGCCCTTGTGGTTTGTTTGTGAAAATCATACATTAAATGACATTCAAGTTAATACTAACCAAAGGAATCATCAAGCTCCTCCAGGTGTTTTGTTTCCGCTACCTTCAATATCCTTGAGACATCAGGTTCCTCAAGCAGAAGTGATTTCCAGCGAAGATTGGAATTGGCTTTGTGTTCCTGGATGGGTATGAAATTAACAGCCAGTTTATCCAGCTTTTTGAATGCACAACAGATTAAATATGACAATGAATTTCAAGAACATTTGACTAGAAATACATTTAACCAGGACCATATTAACTACTGAGCCATGGCATAAAGTATTTGAAGCCTGTTTTTAACTCAGGCTTTGGGTTTTCTCCTCTAAGAGAAGTGATAGTATAAAACATGTACATTGCACTATTTGATACTGTACTCTAGTGTGAGCTTTGTCTTCTTTCATGAAAATGAGTATGCAAGCTTAGAAGTCTTATAACAATCTAGTATCTGATTTCTATGATCTGTGTCCTTTTTCTTCTCAAGCATTAAAGTATTTCTTCTTTCATCTCTATAATACATAAATTTCCATCCTTGTTCAATTTAATTATTGTCATTTTAAAAAATTGAAAAGTTATAGTGTAACCTTATAAAAAGGGGAATTTTTAAATCAAGGATTACATAGAGACTTCTGTAAAACAGAAGGGTAAAGGGAATGACACTGTTTTATGAAACAGTTGTATGTCATTCTTACCATGTGAGAGCGAATCTCTCACTGATTTCTGTGAGTGCATGGAGAGTGAATTATAAGCAGAAAACACCAACTTCCTAAGCTTTTTAATTTTACTAGTGCTTAGCAGTGCCCCACAAGTTCTGTTATGGTACAAAATACAGACACATCAACTCTTTCCTCTACAAATTGTTTTCTTTTCTTTTATGAGACTGTTTTTAAACTTTTGCCTGTTTGAAAGTCACTGGTCCATTTTGTACTACTCCCAGAAGGAAAAAAAGAAAACCCCACGCACGCACCCCAAGCCTGCCCCAGCAGGGACTGCACAGTGCCTGTGCAAAGCAAGCCCTGCATTAATTCCTGCGCATCCACCTCCAGAGACAATGCCCTGACTGCATGATAACACAACACAGAATCACACACTATCCTATGTTGGAAGAAACCTAAAAGGATCATTGAAATCTGACCCCTAACTCTGCATAGGATCACCCCCAAGAATCACACCATGAGCTTCAGAGAATCATCCAAACGCTTCTTGAGCTCTGTCAGGCTTGGTGCTGTGACCACTTGCCTGGGGAGCCTGTTCCAGTGCCCAGCAGCCTTCTGGGTGAAGAATCTTTTTCTAATATCTGACCTAAACCTCCCTGATGCAACTTCAGGCCATTCCCTCGGGTCTTGTCACTGATCACCACAGAGAAGAGATCAGTGTCTGCCCCTCCTCTTCCCCTTGTGAGGAAGCTGAGACCACGATGTGGTCTTCCCTCAGTCTCCTCCACCTGTACAAGCCAAGTAACCTCAGCTGCTCCTTTTATGGCTTCCCCTCTACACTCTTTACCATCTTCTTTACACTCCTTTGGATGCTCTGAACAAAAACAAAACACGGCTTGTTTGAATTCTGCCCAACCTAGCAAAACCTACCTCTAATTTATAGCTTGTATGAGTCTTCTTTATTTTCTTCTTCGAGGACATTTCGCTATTCAGTATATGCTGAGGATAAAGTCAGTGAAAAACTGTCCCCGACACAAATCAGCTTTCTCTGTGTCAGTACCTGGGAGAGAACGGGAAATCTTTGTTACTTCAATTTATGAAGCTCAGCTCACTCTAAAAGCAGTAAAACCCACTTCATTAGCCTAGACCGACGTATAAGTGCTATACAGCATACATCAGTTAGTAACGAGCCAGGCACATAAAAGAGATAAATCGCGACGCTGCTGTTCAGGACCGCACCTTCGCTCCGCCGCTGCAGTTCCCCTCACGCAGGAGGTCCCAGCCCGCCTCGCCGAGCGCCCCAAGGCGGGCAGGGCAGACCCTCGTCCCGCCCTCCCGGCCCCGTCTCCCCGCGAACACCAGCGCCCCCCGGCCCGACCCCTCAGGGCACACTCCCGCTTTTCCCGCCGCCGTTCGAACCGGGCGCGCCGCCGCCGGGAAGGAAGGAAGGAAGGGAAGGCGCGGGGAGGAGCCGCCGCGCCGGAACAGGAACAGGGACAGGGACAGCGCCGCCACAGCCCAGCTCCGACGCCGGTCGGGCCGAGGAAGGAAGGGGGCCGGCGCCGTTCATTCCGTCTTTAAAGAATTCACACAACCATCACTCTGCTCAGTGTTTTTCCATTAATTAGTCTGACTAAAAAAAAAGACCAAACAACCACAAAACTCCACGTTTCCTTCTCCCCGCCCCCCTTCCCTGAACTGATGCTGTGCATCTGGAAAAACAAGTGGACGAGATTACTTCTGTAAAGATAACCTGAAATCTTGTGATAATAATTTATAACACACAAAACCAGTACTTGCTATAATACCGTGCAAAAAAAAAAAAAAAAAAAGTAGGCTTTACCTTGAACACTTAATTCCATCTCTGGCATTTAAATTAACAATTTAATTGTTAATAAGGGATTTAGCAATTCATCAAAAGTCTCACTAGTTGAGAGGGGCCCTTTTGACGTCACATCTCTTCATCCACAGTCAGGGTGTTCTTCTAAAGATCATCTGCCCAGCTACCCATTGTTACCTAACCCAATAAGCTAAAACACAGTGAAATAATGACTTTAGAATTAACTGGTGGCAAGGTCTCTTTAGACTTCTAAGTTGCTGGCTATAACATCCAGCCTCACTTAGCAGTCCCTGAGGCAAGGCTAATACAGCACAGCTTTGTTTCAGTAGTCATATGTGGCTCTTCTAGGAAGCTTTCTTTGATATAATGTGTTATGAACCTAAACCTTAGATCCAGCTGTCATCCATCTATCAGCTATCTCCATTAGTGACACTTCAGTCTGTCTTTCCAAGCAGCATACACATACTTGGTTATTGAATAAGTAACAAAAATTTGGTTTAGATTTTTTTTCAGTACAGAATAAATGTATAAAGGAACATACAGGATCACTTTGAGGAGGAAGTCTACAATGGCTAGGAAGAGAAGTGTGCTTAGTATCTCACAATGACATCTGTATTCACATAGAGCTCTAAGCAGTGTCCTGGTAGTGATGCTTCATCTACCCTGGTGTGGTAACTCGGCCCATGAAATCTTTTATACCATAATCCTGACTGAAGCCAGATGCACAGTGTAAGGGCAGGAATAAGGAAAACTACTACCACCCACAAGCTACATAAGAGTTTAAGAAAACTCCAGCTTTCATTCAAGTTACTCATGATGATGGTAAGAACACAACTGTCAGAAACTACACTGAAAACAGACAAACAATACAAGATTTGTTTGTTTAGGAATATACTGAAAGAGCAAGTTACATATAACAGCATCCCTTTCTTACAAATATTGGCCAAAAACTTCAACATAAGAAGTTACTTTCCAAAAGTAAAAGCGTAAACAACCAGCCTTTATACTGTATTTAGTATGTTTATAGCAGTGGAGTTTTACAGTGTGTCAGTTACCAAATTACACCTGGGCTTGTTAGTCAGCAGCATTTCTTTGATAAACAAACACGTCAAGGAGTTGAAATGCAGAAATATTTATTTTGGTTTCCTTCATTGGTTTTGAAAATTGTTTTGGTTTTATAAAACATAGAAATAGCCAACACTAAGCAAACATTTGAATTCCAATGTAACAAACTACTGCTCTAACAGTTGACTTGGATTTGTGTACCTTAATTGCACACATGTATGAAATTATGCTACAGAGTAGTGCATTACAATCACACACAAATCTTAGTGCAAACCTTGTTGTGCTTGTATTTTACATATATCCATGTTTTCAAAAAAACAGCAATGAATGCTAATGCAAAACCAATTCTATTAAGGATAGCAAAAGACTTATGCTGTAATAAGGCTTATTTCTGCTGATTTCTCAAACAAAAGGTAACTAGTTATTTTGCAATTTATCTGAGAATTAGGTTTTTATCCCTGAACAAATACCTATCCTGGGCCAACACACAGTTCTGTTGGCATATATAAATACTTCCAATTGCTGCAAAGCATCAGGCAAAAAACATTCTACCTGACCTATTTTGCTATTCAGTGAAGAATACTCAGTGGCTCATACATAAAGCATGGAAAACAGAGGTTATGTCAGAAGCTCTTCCACTTAGAGGACCTGGCACATTTTTTAAAAATGCATTTTAAATACAAGGTCATTACAGAGAAACAAGTGGCTAGTACAGGTGCAGTGTTTACCCTGACTGTTAGCATAGCCCAGCCTCTGAATGGTTTGGTTTTTAAGTCTCTAGTGTTCTTGCCAGAGTTAGGATCAGCTCATTTGCAGGGCTGGCACCATGTAGCGAGGCTACACTTGCTGATTTAACCACATCCACACTTCCGGTGCAGAACCACATCTGTAGACTTACTCTGACGAACTTCTATTCATCAGTCTCCTTTGAGTGGAGTGCTGACTTCTACCTTATGAAAGTACATCTCAGAACTGGATGCAGATATAGAAGGGAGATACAACTCAGATGCCTTGCCCCAGTTAATATTAGGACTAATGAAAGATGTGATACCAGCTACACAACTGTAAGGGCCTGGGGTTTTTTGGTGGTTGGGTGGTAGGGTTTTTTTGAACAGACTAAGTCATTTTTCTGAAGATGCAAGATACTTAGAGGCATTTTCATAGCTGCCAAATCCTTTGTGGAATTGACAACTGCAAAACACACTGCAGACAGCAAACATGCTGGCAATAAAACCTTAGCTCCTTGGTGAAGGCAAGTCCCATTTTTGGCCAAGGAAATATTAAATAACTTACATTAGAGTTACCATTTATAGTTAAGGCTCTTTTTGGAAATTGTAGGTCACCATAAAAACAGTATGCAACACAACTTGACAGTAAGGCAGTGTTCCATTTCTTCAATGTTCCTATGGCAAGTACCCATTTTTGTACAAGTTAATGATTGCACAGTTTCCTTCCCTATGTTTGCTGTAGTCAAAATACAGATATGAAGACCAACAGTAGACATCATATGTGTGCCACTTTCCTCATTCCATTTGCAGTTACATTTTGGCATTAGCATAGAGTTCATCTATCTGTGACTGGAAGTATTTTCGCAGTTCTGGTCTCTTTGCCTTCAGTGTTGGTGTCAACAGGCCATTCTCAATAGAAAACATTTCACTGTGCAGGACAATGTCTTTCACCTGGAAAATAAGAAGTTACTAGCCAAGCTGCATTCCTTGAAATAGGAAAGGCTTTTAAAAACTCGCCCAGATATCATAAAGCCCATCACTTTAAAAGTTTTCCAGATGCAAATTAAAAGCAGTTTCTGGAGAATCAGATTATATTGGTATTGAGAAGTTTAAAGAATTAGGTGTTTGGTTCTCACAAGTGTCTTACCTGTTCAAATGACTTCAAACCAGATTCTTTCCCAACTCTCACCATGTCTTCCAGAATGTATTTTTTGACATCCTGTGGATACAGGAATACGTTGTATAGCTTCATGCTTGTATAAGCATCAACTTGAAAAAGTTTATGCAGAACAGCTGTTTAGTTAGATATGTCTCACCTTGTTTTTGCATAGCTCTTGATAGGAGCCTTCAATTCCCTTTTTCTTGGCCCATTTGTGAAGAGAATCAGGATCAGGTACCACAATAGCTACTAAGAAGGCCTAAAAAGGAATTTTTTTCAAGTTTTTTTTCTTTACGCCAACACTTTAGTTCCTACACATTTCTTACTAGTCAGGTTTTGGAGTGAGTTTCTGATCCTGCTGTACAGTCAGCAGCTTTCTGCTACCTGAACACGGGACTGCAGTTCAGAAGCTTGCACTTGAGAGAATTACTCTTAAAGACCCACACTTCTATTTACACTTGAAAGAATCTGGGTTTTTTGTATTTTTTTTCCCCCCTGCATACTCTGAGCAAATTTATACACAGTCATTAATACCCAATTAAATTAGTTCAGCTCCCCTACCTGGTCTGAAACTAAATACAGAAACATGCTATGTAACTGCTGAAATCCATTCAGAACCAAAATGTATAATGATAAAAATTTAAGATAAAAATTTAAGATTTCAGTCCCAAAGCTTGGGGGGGGGGGGGGGAGAGGAAGAAAAACTTTTCTGCAATCTCCTTTTGTAGTAATTTTTTAAATTACCTGAAAAATGCTTACCTGCAAGCTCTCTCCATGAACAAATACCTGTGCAAGTGCTTCACATCTCAGATACACATTCTCTATTTTCTCTGGTGCTATGTACTCTCCCTGGGCTAGTTTAAATATGTGCTTTTTCCGGTCAATGATTTTCAACGTACCATTCTGTTGACAGAAATAACTTTCACTCAGAAGAGGCACTTCAAGTGGAAAACCAATCTATACAGCTTAAGCATGCTCAGTAAAACTGTGATAGAGCCAGAACACTGTCAAACTAATGGTAGAAGGGAACAGGTTACACATCCATCTAATCTAAACTAGGGAAAGCCTCAGGACTGATACTGCCAATACTTTTTTAGCCCCAGGCATACAGATTTAGCTACAACAGTAACTATCCTTCTCCTCAAATTACTTATCTTTCACCTAATTCACTCTGTTCAATACCAAATGTTTTCTATTTTATTTCTAAATTACTGCTGATAGCTATAGAAGTTATGTAAGTTAACTTACTGGCAGCCACTTCCCAATGTCTCCCGTATGAAGCCAGCCATCTTTGTCCAGAGCTTCTGCCGTTTTTTCTGGATCTTTCAGATAGCCACGGAACACAGTTGGCCCTTTTACACACACCTGAAAACAGCAGTTTGTTAATGTATGAAGCAAAGTTAATAATCACTATTTGCAACAAATGCTTTTCTGACGGTTCTCAAAAACCCCCACTAAAAAGACAAGATGAAGCTCATGTGTTTGTGCAGATCTCTACTTACGGGTTTTGGAGACCTAACATTTTCCATTACTATGAAG